ATTGCTTTAGTTGGTTACTGTGGTTTGCTGTATTGTCTGGTTTAAAACAAAATGAGAAGACTAAAAAGATTTTCATCTTCTTTGTTGCAGTGAACACATGTGTGTGAGCAGGGAGGGCAACATGCACTGCTTACACACCTCCGCGGATACATCAGCATACTTCAAGAGTGTCCAACTCCAGGCCTCAAGGGCCGGTGTGTTGCAGGTTTTAAATGTGTCCTTGATCCTACACAGCTTATTTAAATTGCTAATGACCTCCTCAACATGTCTTGAAGTTCTCCAGAGGCCTGGTAATGAACTAATGATTTGCTTCAGGTGTGTTGACCCAGGGTGAGATCTAAAACCTGCAGGACACCGAGTCCTGGACACCGAGTCCTGGACACCCCGTCCTGGACACCCCTGGCATACCTGGTTGCTGGACAGTTTAACCAATCTCTCAACCTGAATCACGAACCTTCGAGGATGAGCATCCTGAATGTCAATTATTTACAGCAGTATCATAATCAGTTACAACACAAGTCAATGCTTAAAACAGACTTTTTTTTCTTCTACTGGGGCATTGTTTTCACTCAGTGGTTGAACAGGGGGCCAAATGCAGATGCCTGGGTTTGATTCTAACCCAAGGCCATCTGCTGCTCCATCTCCCTGCTCTACTGTCTCCTCTTCACTAAAATTAAGAAATAGAAGTGAGAAAAGCTCAGAGTATAAAAGAATACTTCGCCTGAGGTGTATATCGATTGCAAAAGCTACCAAACAAAGAGTCAGTCAAATGTTCAATATTGTTTTGTTGTTACAAATGCTAACATGCACACTTGCAACCTGTGACTGACAGGAGTCCCCATTCAGCTTGCAAACATCTGTCCAAACAACTCCGATGGCTGTTCTGTCTTCCTCTGTCCATGCCGCTATGCATTACCTCCCTCCTCTGCAGGGACTTAGAGGATTAAACTGCAATTATATGCTTCCCCTTTCTCCCCAGCTGTGCAGAAAGGGGAGAGGAAAGGACGGGAGAGGAAGGGAGACCTTTGACCCAAAACTAATCTTTGAACGACTCAAACAAATTTAAATACAACTGTCGACATACACAAATCCACCGTACATATTTGCATATTTATAACCTACCAGCACACTGCAACAACTAAACAGAGATATATTGTTCAGAAACTGAAAACAGAGCAGACATCAAAGTCAAATGTCACATCAGTGTCAGAGATGAAAAAGCAGGAAGTAGCAAGGATAGGCAGCGATCACTTCCTATATGACATTACCCAACTGCGTGTATAGAAGGTATCAGCTGAGCCATCACCCGACGATCAGCTGATTTACTTGGATGATCAATTTATTATTTAGTGTTATTCCAGCCAATAAGACCTTAAAAGATGTGCGACAGCTTTGTCAGATATAAATGATCTGCAGCAGATGAAAGTACTGCTGCTGATTAATATTTGTAAAACAAAGAATGGAAAATATTTTATAGACATCCCCTCCAGTCAGAAGGAAACTTAAAAGCCCTGAATGAGCTTTCATATTCAGTTCTGTCATTATGACGAGACACGACTCACAGTGGATGATGGTGAAAACACTGATGCAAAACAAGTGTCAAATCATCAGGTGCTTGAGCTTCTTCTTCCTCTGACAGATGAATATGTTTACATAAATCAGTCAGTCTGCACACACTTGTTAATAGTCCAATCCATGACATTAGGTGGCACATTAGTGTTTTTTTCCTTTGGTCAAGAAGAACTGGATGAAATATTGAGACGTTCCTGAATTGAACAACAAGACTGAGCAGTACAAGGAGAGTTGAAAATTACACGAGCAGCAGACACAGCTTGTCAAGCTGGGAACAAAAGAAACAAAGCTCCAGAATACCAATGAAGTCAGTCCCCTGTTTGGCAGTCGTTAATTAATAAAAACAATGGTGATCTAAAGAGGTTAGATATTCCAAAAAGAAAACACACACACATAAATAACAGTCAACGCTCTTTTGCTGTGTACTTTTAAACACTAGAGAGCAATCCACAGCGATCCTACTGACATTTACAAAAATTTAGAGGAATAAAATGCTTGTTTTCCTCCCATTCGTTGGAAGTGGAAGCACAGGAACGCAATGTTATCATATACTCGACATGAAAAACACCGACTGCAGAATCTATTATTTATTTCCAGTCTCTCCTGTATCGCTTTTATTCCCAATCAACCCCTGAGAGAAATATCTGGCTTTCTAGCTTCCAGCCACTCCACTGCGGAAGCCTCCAACTTTGCCTGCTTACTGTCTGTGGATCAGGTAGTGCACAGCGGGTTTCTCGAGAGCTGCAGACATGGTGTGAGAGAAAAACTGGAGAGCAGAGCTGCAGATTTGGGTGATGGCGCTGTGTCATTATGACAATACTGCATTGTTTTCACACAGTGAACCCGACGTGTCGAAGCGTTTCTCTGTGAAAATTACATCTATGTAATCAGACCAGCGAGCGATCAGTGGGACCAAGCAGATAAAGTGGGCATGTGGGCACTGCTACAATTAGATAATGAACGGCTATACAAACAGCACCGGCTACAAGCCAGCAGCTCGCTGAGGCTCTGCTGTGTACACTCGCATAATAAGCATACATTTATTAAATACACAAGAAGACAGGCAGAACGCAGCCTACCAGTCATACTGCGCGAGCGTGGAGTTAATGATTTCCCCAGGCCTCTTGCGTTGTGCAGTCCGCCTTGCCTCCGTTCTGGAAGAAATAAAAAGAGGATTGGCAGAGTGGATGAAAAGCTTAGGTGGTGGGTGGAGGATGCAGGGATAAAACATATAGAAGACAAACAAAGGTACACAGTACAAAGGCCAGTAACGCCACCTCCTTGCCCTTTGTCCTCATTCCTCAGGCTCAGTGTTCTTGCCGTCCTTTCTGTTTGTTCTCTCCTTACCTCAATTCTTTCTTTCTTTCACGTTGAAGAATATTTTTTTACTCCATCCTTCTTTTGACCACCTGACGTTACTCTCCTTCGACACACCTTTTCCCTCCTTTCCTTCTCATTTTCTTCTATTGTCCCATTCTTCCACTCCGCCTCACCTTCTTTTTCCATCCCTCTCTTTTCTCTCCAACTCTTTAACTCTGGCCTTGGGAGACTTGGCCTGTTTACCTCAGAGACCGACATGAAAGCCAAACATTTATGTATGGGGTCTGTGTCACAGTCACGCCGTAACGGACGCAGGAACATCCTCCTGCAGCTAGCATAACTGGTTTTATGTTAGCTGCAGTCGGACTGGAAGTGAACGTTGAAAGTCTCGCATCAGACAGATGCTGCAGACATCTGCTTCCTGGAGCAGACTCTGACTCTGATCTTCACCTACATATCATCTCAGGTTAGAAACTCTGTGCTACTATGCCGGCCACTTAACTTGACCCCATGGTTTCCCTAGAAAACCAATGGGGTCGGCTCTGACCCCATGGGTTCTCCAGGGTTAAGTGAGATAAAAGGATCGACATCAACCCTGTATGTACACAAGCTAAAGAGCTGAATGTGGACTGGAACGGGGGGGGAAGAAGTTTAACCAATTAATTGGTTAAAAAGCAAAACCCACTATTGCACAGCATATGGCTGGGGTTTTTCCATGTATAGGGGAATTTGAGCCACTAAATTTCCCAAGAGGTTTTAGTCAGAGCCCAAAACCTCAGCACTGGCATTAGATATTTTTAACCAGTTTTGTAGATTGTGGTTTCATTTATTCAAGCATAACAGACATAGATTTCTGTCACATAAAGTGACACAGACCTACTGCCTTTAGTGCACACAGTCCAATCAACATTAGATGCAAAGTCCCTCCCCAAAGGCCAATTTTGAGACAGGAAAACCCCCGATGGCTCCGCATGTAGTGTCATCGTAAGCCCATCTTTTGTTTTTCCTTCCTTTCTTATCAACATCCTGTCATTTCACACTTATTAATTCTTTCAAACACATTTCTCCCCAAAATATTCAATTTCCCACAGATATGACGCTTTACCTTATGCCTATAAAACCACAATAACTTAACAAAAGTGAACTCTGCTGCACGAGTTCGACTTTATGCAATGGAGCGGTGACTCAGCATGCAATGTCTCATTTTAATGTCTGAGGTTTAGCTGTGAAAGATGTTTAGTTCAGCTTGTCTATTCTCTGGTGACAGCTAAATGAATACTTTAGTAGACAACACTATACTATTGACAAATACATCCCAGCATCCTTGTAGCATTTCAGTACAGTTTGTCTCCCTATAAAGCTCCATGAGGACAGTAATGCCCACAAGCGTCAGAATGCATGCCGGCTACAACAGCTGCTTGGCACACAATGACAGAGGTTTGAGGCAGAAGAGGAAATAGAAGAGAGGAAGAGAGAAACTGAATGAGAGGAGGGTTCAAGAACAC